CATGTCCCCCTGTACCAAAGGCTATAGGTTAGGGCACAATGGATAACATTTTTGACAGCAGATCAGAAGAAAGGCCAAGAGGTAACTTGTATATCATGAGATCACTTAACCTGTGGTGAGCCTACTTATTTGTTTTTCATAGTTTCAAATTTTCCCGTGCACTTATGAAATGGTATCTCATGTGGAAAAAACAGATTCTAACTTGGATTTCATTAGTCATCTTATGAACTAGTAAAAGGAATTTTCAAATGGAATATGGTGAAAAACTTTCAAAATTTGGTTTCTCATTTGCTAGTAGGAAAATAAATACAGATGCTCCTCAACTTACTGTGGGGGTATATCTGATGAACCCTGTTTATCACTTTAAGTAAAAACAGTTAAAGTCAAAAATGCATTTAAGCCAGGGATTTAGCTCAGTGGTTCCGCCTTCTGCCTCACCAGCACAAGAACCTGAGTTTGATCCCCGGTACCTTAAAAAAAAAAAAAATGCATTTAATGCATATAATCTACCAAACATCAGAATTAAGCCTAGATTACTTTAAATGTGCTCAGAACACATACACTAGCCTATAGTTGGGCAAAATCATCTAACACAAGCCTATTTTATAATAAAACGTTAGCTATAATGCCATTTATTCACTACTGTAGTGAAAGTGAAAAAAAAGAATATTTGTACAGGTACATTTTTGCACCATAATAAAGTCAACCATTGTAAACTGAGAAACATCTCTAGAGGCACTGAAAATAATCTTAATATGGGGAGAGTAAAACAGATATATCATAATTAAGTAAATTGTGGCATATCTACAAAATTGAATGTGGTATAACTATTAATATATTTACAATGATTTTTAATGATATGAGAAATGCTGAAAAAGAATACGAAATTTAAAGATAACATTAGCTCTATCATGTTAAAAATTCTTAGATAAAATACTGAGAGAACATACACTCAAATGTGACAATGGGTATTGCCACTTGGTGGGACTTTGAGTGATTTCTTTTAATCCTGCTTTTCTAAATATTTTCTAAATTTTCCAACATAAGGCTATATTTTTAAAATTCAGCTTTATTAAGAGATAATTCACATACTACACAGTTCAGCCATGTGAAGTATATAGTTCAGTGGGTTTTTCTTTTTGTATATTCAGAGTTGTGCAACCATCGCCACAACCTAATTTTAGAACACTTTCACCATCCCCAAAACGTGCTCTGTACCCATTAGCAGTCACCTTCCATTCCTTCTGCCTCTCTTAGCCCCAGGCAACCACTAATTTGCTTTTTATCTATATAGATTTGCCTATTCTGGATGTTTCATATAAATAGAGTCATATACTAGAATATGTGCCCTTTTGTGTTCTGACTTCTTTGACTTAACACAATGTTTTCAAGGCTCATCTATGTTGTAGCATGTGTGCATATTACATTCCTTCTCCCCACTCTCACGGCCCCCCTTCTCCCACAATACTGGAGCTTGAACCCAGGCCTTGGCACTGAGCTACATCCCCAGCCCTTTTGTTATGCTTTTATTTTAAGAAAGGGTCTTTCTAAGTTGTTGTCTGGGTTTGGCGTGAACTTTTGATCTCCCTGCCTTAGCTTCCTAGAGGGCCAAAATTACAAGCATGGACCAAACACTACACCTGGCTTATTCCTTCTTATTGCTGAATAATACTTCATTGTATGGATTGACGATCTTTTAATCCATTATCAGCTGATGGACATTTAGTTTGTTTCTACTTTTTGACTATTGATTATAATGCTGCCATGACCATTTTTGTACAAGTTTTTTATGGATATTTCAATTCTCTTGGTATATACCTAGATGTAGATTTTCCAGGTTGTATGATAACTTAGTTTAGCATTCTGATGAACTGCAAAAGTGTTCTCAAAGTTACTCACCATTTTACATACCAGCAATATGGGACAGATCCAATTTCTCCACATCCTTGCCAACACTCATTATTGTTGGTCTTTTTGATTACAGACATTCTCTAATGTGTGAAAAGTGACACTCATTGTATTTTTTATTTGCATTTTTCTAAGGGTTAATGATGCTGAAGATCTTTTCATGTGCATATTGGCCATTAGCATATCTCCCTTGAAGAAATGTTCATTCAGATTCTTTGCTGATATTTTAATTGGGTTGCTGGTGGTGGTGGTAGTGGTGGTGATGGGGATGGCAGCGTGTGTGTGTGTGTGTGTGTGTGTGTGTGTGTGTGTGTAATAGTAGGATTGAAGCCAGGGCCTTCACCCTACCCCTTTTTATTTTGAGTCAGGGACTTGCTAAGTTGCCCAGCAGAATTCAAACTTTCATCGTCCTGCCTCAGCCTCCTAACTGCTGGGATGATAGCATGTGCCACCACACTCAGCTTCAGTTGTCTTTTGATTACTGAATTGTGAGTACTTTATATAGTCTGGATACAAGTCTCTTATCAGATGTATGATTCACAAATCTATTCACCCCTTCTGTGGATTCTCTTTTTGGTTTCTTGATGATGTCATTTGCAGCAAAGGTTTTAATTTTGATGAAGTCTAATTTATCTACTTTTTTTCTTGTTGTTTATGTTTTTGGTGTTTTATGTAAGAAAGCATTACCTAACCCAATATTATGAATAATTACTTTTACATAAACTTCTGAGAATTTTATAGTTTTAGCTTTTACTCTTAGATCTATGATCTATTTTGAGTTGAATTTTGTTTATTGTAGCAGGAAAGGGTCTTTCCCCCTTTTTGCATGTGGATATCCAATTATCTGAGCACCATTTGTTGAAAACACTATCTTTTCCCTGCTGAATAGTCGGCAAAAATAATAGTCTTGCCAAAAATCAACTTACCATAAATGTAACGGTGTTATAGTTTAGATTTAAATGGGCCCCAAAGCCTCCTGTTTAGAAGATGATTGAATAATGGGGGCATTGTAGCTGTTAGGAGGTAAGGTCTGGTCAGAAGAGGTGGGTCATTGGGGGAGTGACCTGGAAGGGTGCATCTCTCTTCCTGGCTCTTCCCTTGTCTCTCTGCTTCCTGGCCACCATGAAGTGAGCAGCTTCCCTCTGCTATACCATAGTATTTCTGCCTTGGAACTGCTGACCACAGACTGAAAGCATGAGCCAAAATTAACCTCTCCTCCTTTAAACTACAGATAGCAAGTAGTTTGTGCCAGCCAGAAGAAAAGTGACTAAGACATAAGTGTTCACATTGGAAACAAAGATTTTTTTTTACAAGACAGCTTTGGCCATCCCAAGTCCCTTACATTTCCATGCATTGCTTTTATACTCAGTAGATGAAAGGTTTTTAGAAAAAGGAAAGAAGGAAGAAAGGTGAATATTACTGAAGGAATTGCAGTTCATCTCATTTTCTGAGTGATTGTTCTGTAGTGCACCTTTTCTCTTAGATGAAGAAAACTCTGTCCTAAATTCTGCCTTTTTCTTGACAGTCTTTTTCTTTTTTTTTTTTTTCACTGTTGAGAAACACTTGCAGGGCATTGCCTCAGCCTTGGCCTCCTCTTCTGTCTTGAATCACTTGGATGCTCAGGGTTTCTTTTCTCATAGGGGTCCTACAGCCATCTACTCCTGGTAAAATATTGTCACATTCTATTATTAATGCCTATACACTGCTTTGATTATACACTTCATGGGTTAATCACTTTTGAGTATGTATTTTTGGATGTTCATTTTGTGTGTAAATATTTATTCATTTATAATTGTATATTTATGATTTTTACATATTAAAAGCACACAAAAAATGTAAATAAAATGCTTAGAAATGGAAGTCTTCCTACACCTCAACGGCTTTTATTTATCTCTCTGTGTGTTGCCTTCTTAGATTTTTCCTGTTTTCCTGTGTGTTTCCAGCAGCCAGCCAATCATGGCCAAGTACACAGCAGGAGCTCAATGTACAAAAAAAAGTTAATATATTCTACTATTTCTATTAAGTTAATACAAATAAAAGTTAATATGTTCTACTATTTCTGCCTCTATTTGTAGGTTTTGCACCTCCCAAGTAGAGGTTCTGCATCTATCACTGGCTAGGATCACTTTGTAGAAAGGCTGTGCCCTCCTCTACAAAGAAGATGGCACCCTGGTACGATGTGAATAAAGGGCAGGGAGGGTTTCAGTCAGCTGGAATTCAAAGGACAAGTGGTAAGTTAACAAATGGCATAGAGAGGAAAGCTATCCCAGCTGTACCGTATTTGGGCACCAAGGGAGGACCAAGGGAGATGAGCCAGCGCGTTTCGAGTTAGGGTAAAGATTGGGAGAGCTGAGCGCGAAAGGCAACCCGGGTTGGATGTTTTCACAACTTCACTCTGGGGACTCTGTGGAGTTGCTTCCATCTTGAAGATGGAAGTGCTGGGAGTTTGTTGGTTGCCTGGACAGTAGGGCACAATTACAGACAGAGGCACAAGTCTCTGCTCGCCAGAACCAAAGCCTAGGGTAAACTCTGCTTTAGAGTATTTTCGGCTCTTAGCAACTTTTTTTCCCTCTCCTTTGGATCCTGGGTTGCTGCCTTTCCCTTTGTCACCAGAAGACATTATATACCTTTATCTGATAATTAGTTTCCCAGAAACTGAGGGGGTTGGTTGGGGGTGCTGTTTTGGGGCTGCCCGTATGAGGCCTGCCGCCAATGTTTGGATGGCACAGGTTTAATCAAGTAGGGGCTTGACAGAGAAGGCTTCATTTACCTCACCCCAATTAAATCAAACCACCTACACACAAGTAAAGGCTCAGACACATCCTGACGGAAAACAGCCTCCAGGGTACTGGGAACCACTAATGTAGCGCCAAGGGCGCGCCTAGTTTGGCCTGCAGCCCGTATCCCAACCTTCCTCCGAGATCAGGACCCTGGCCCGCCTTCGGGGTAAGGAGGACTCAGCCCCGGGCGAGCCTTCTCCTGCGCCTGCCCGAGCGGCCTGGCAGCGAGATGGGCGGGGCCTCCCGCGGGGCAGCCTCGGAGTCTGTGCCTGGCCTGGCCTAGCCCCGCCCCTCGGGGAGGCGGGGCGGCTCAGGGAGCGCGCGCGCGGCTAGGGCGCGAGCCGGCCTGGGAGCTGCCAAGCCGAGCGCAGTGAGCGCGTCTCTGGGCGGCGGCGAGGACTGGGGCGGCGCGATGGCTCCGGCCGTGGACCGGGAGGGCTACTGGGGTCCCACAACCTCTACGTTAGACTGGTGCGAAGAGAACTATGCCGTGACCTGGTACATCGCTGAGTTCTGTGAGTGTGGCCTGAGGCAAGGAGCGAGGGCGCCGGGCTGTGGGGAGACGCGGTGTGGAGAAGGCAGAGGGCGAACCTGGCCTCGAGGAAAGGCTCGGGGCCCAGCCGGGGAGCGGAGAGGGGCGTGCGGGGCCGCGGGACCCTGGGGAATGGACAAGGGGGTCCCGGGTGTCGATTGAAGACTGCGGGGATCTGAACTGGCGGCGGGGGGCCTTCAGGTTGGGACGGAAAGGAAGTGGGGAGCCCCTGCTGGACCTGAGGAGAAAGCGAAGGAGCGGGGCTGGGAACAGAACTCCCTACCTGAGCGGCGGAGTAGGGCAGGTGGGGAGAGAGGGGAAGCCTTAGAAGAGGCTGGGGGTGGAAGGCCCTGCCATTGGAATGAGGGCCCAGGACACCTGCTCTGCTGTTACACCACCACTCATGGGAGAAGGGGACACTTCTGAGCTGCGTCTTCCTCCAAGTCTGTGAGAACTCTAAGGTCTTTCTCTTCCTCTTTATTCCTGTTAGATCTCTCTCGCTCTCCTCCAGGGAAGAGTTTTACCATTTCTGAGGTTTGACTCCCCCACCGTACCCCCATGTCTTCAGGTACCAGAGAACATCTGTGCTCTGAGTATGCCTATCCAACTGTCATTTTTCACCAGAAGTGGAAGGCAGAGAACCTGATCTACCTTCCTCCTCCTGCCAGGCTTCCAAGAGCACGAGGGACCTAGTCCCTGCTGCTGCTGCTGCACTCTGTCTAATTTGACTTCCTAGGGGTTAAGGGTCATCTGAGGACACTGCTTCCCTTGAATGCACCTTCTGAGGACTTAAAGTTCTACTTCTAGCTACTGTGCTGACACACAGGCACTGCTGGCCTGGCCAGGTCTGGGGGGTTGTCTATTTCTCAGTCTCTGTCTCTGTCTCTCTGTCTCTGTCTCTGTCTCTGTCTCTCTCTCTCTCTCTCTCTCTCTCTCCCCCTCTTCCTTCCTCCTTCCTCTCTTCCTCTCTCCCGCTCCCCCTCTCCCCCTCTCCCTAGGTGATTGTTCCTTCAAAGCTAGGAGAAATCTGCCACTTCTTTTTCTGTTGTTTACTTTGGTCAAGTTTTGAGAGCATAATGTTTGATCCTACTTTAAGGTACTTCTGGCAAGATTTAGAGAATATTCTTTGACTATTACTGCTTTCTTTTAAATGGATCCACTTTCACAGGACATGAGATAAAACTTTTTTTAGCTAACTTTTCCCTCTGTTGAGTCTGTCTCCAATCTGTATGTGTTTGTCTTGGTAGGAAAGAGACACGAGTTTCATGCCAGATGATCCTACTTTATTCTGTTTGAGTGGTTGGCTAAGTTAAAAAAAATAGAACAAGACTTTTAGTAGGGTTCTTAGTACTATTCTCTTGAGACCATGATTTTGGTTTTTTTTTTTTTTTTTTTTTTTTGGTACTGGGGATCGAACTCAGGACCTTGCACTTGTGAGGCAGGTGCTGGAACCACTGAGCTAAATCCTCAGCCCTAGGCTGAGTTTTTTTGAGCTGCTAGTTTAAATTAATTTTATATAATAATGGAGGAAAAGGATCATTTGTAGTTTAATTACTTGGCAGATCCAAATATTAGCAAAGAAAGCACTTTATCAATTGGTTGTTAGATTGCTTTGACAAATCCATGCCTAGTCTAGAGAGCCATGACCATAAGGTAAAGGACTTAAAATCATGCTGTCTGAGCTGGAAATATGTGACTCTTTTTTCTCTTACTTACGGGTCTTCAAATATTGGGTAGGCGATCATAAAACTAGTTAACTTTCTCAGTTTCTCTCGAAGCTGTAAGTTCTCTAGAACATTCTCAGTTTCTCTAGGGGCAGTGGGTGGAGAAAACTAATTGTAAGGGAGAAGATTTTGCTTCCGTGTAAGAAAAAACTTAATAATCAATGATGATAGCATCATGGAACAGGTTGGCTTGGGTGTTAAGCATGCTTTCTGTCACCAAAAGTGTTAAAGCAGACATTGTTCAACTAACTCATATTTATTAGGAATTAATTGTTTAGCAGGGAAAAGGAACATGCCATAGTTAGTCTTTAGATACCTTGCAGCTTTATCAGTCTACACGGGTAATAATGACTCTAAATTTAGAACCAAGGTTTTAGATTAGAATCAAAAGAGAAAACTGGCAATTGAGTCATGTGGACTACAAGAACACAAGATACTAGCGTTCTGGCAGATAGCTCTGAGAAATGGGAAATGGCTTTAGTTCTCAATGTCTTCAGAAGAGGAACTCTGAGAAGACTACAGAAGACTTTAACATAGGAATCAGAGGAGTCGCAGGAAGAGGATGAATGAATATATTGGCAGCCCTTTGCACATGTACCTTGTGAGAAAATGATCTAGAGGAAGCTGAGGTCAAGCTGTCTAACCATAGCAAGTGGTGGGTGTCTGTACTAACTTAGAGTAAAAGAATTTGATCTTTGAAAAATATGCTGATTAATATGTTTAAAGTGTATGTTCAAAACAAATACAGGTTTATTGTTATTAGATTAATGATAGTAATATTAAGGCTAATAACAGTTATTATCCAAGTGTTGATTGTGCCACAATTTGCTAAGCCCTTCATGTATCTTATCTCTTTTGAAGTTTTATAATAATTTCCAAAAGAAGGTATTATTATTCCCATTTCACAGATTATCTAAGGCTGTAATAAATGGTGTAGAGATAGTATTCAGCTGACTCTAAAGTTGTTCTATAATGACTCCCTGTCATTAATTCTACCACATATTCATTATTTTGCCTCTGTATTCAAGGAATGAAGGGCATAAAGGTTCTTAAAATCCTGAACTATCACAATCTAATTGTTCAGCATTAGGTTGTAGGTATTTTGGTTAATGAGTTTGGGGAATTGCATGTTCAGATATGTGGTGGTTCTTAGTCACTTTCAGCACCTGAAAAATTTTTAGCATCACTCAACATCAATTCAAATTCATTTTTGTTTAAACAGATTGTAAGAACCAGGGGAAAGGGTAGAGTTGTGAAAGGAATAACTTTTTGATGTGCCAGAAGTTATAGATAGAGGCAGTCCTCATTTTGTTTGATAGTGCGGGATCATACAAGTTAAAAAACAAAGCAATCTTAATAGGAAAAGTCACAATTGTTCTGTTACCTTTACAAATTTTTGTCAAACATTGTAAACCCTCTTATAGTTGATTACAAATATTTTAAATGTTAAGAATTGTAGTGTTTTATTTCTTTGTAAACTAACTTATCAAAAATAATTTGAACAGTTCTTTCCTTCACATCATATTGCTTATGGCATGGAATGGTATTTTCCCTGTGCCTTGGCAAATCTTTTCTAAGTTTGGATCAGCTTTCAACATTTTATTCTCTATACTTTCAACATTATGAAATATCTCCAAGAGTTCTTTAATTTGGAGGGTTTTGGCAGTTTCACTTCTTCTAGGACATCATCTTTTTAGCCACAATTGCTATGTTCATTTATTTTGTTAAGTTTGTCTTCATTAAATTCCCGAAGCTGCCTATCTAGAGTCTCTTAGGAGATAACAGTATCATCATTTCTATGATCAACTATTTCTTCTAAAACTCTGTATACATATGATTGGAATTTCACATCTAACATTATCATTTTTTTGTATCTCTGCTGACCTTTCATCACTATTCACCAGTTTCTTCTTTCTAGTATTTATTTTTATAAAATTTCATATAAGTTTATCACCAGGATACAAGGAGGGAACTCAGCTACATGTTTTGTTCCCTGTACATTAACTGAATAACAGTTATATAGTGACTCATCAGTAACAGTCTTTGTCAGAAGTGAGTTGGTTGACCACTGATTTGATGTTCTTCTGTTGTTTGGGTAATGATTTGTGGATTGAAGATCTAGCAGCAAAGTGTGTACTATATTCAGTTACTCACCTCTAGTACATAGTTTTTCCAGGTGTAGTGGCACATGCCTGTAATCCCAGCACTCAGGAGGCCAAGGTAGGAGGATCATCACAAGTTCAGGGCCAGCCTGGGCTACATTGCCAGTTCAAGGCCAGCCTGACATAGCAAGACACTGTCTCAAAAAGCCAAACCAAAACAAAACAAAAAACAGTGTTAACTGAAATTTGAACTGTGTCGTTAGGGAATTGGCATCATTTAAACTGTGGTAACTGAAATTTGTGTGTGTTGGAAGCCTACAAAGTGAAGATTGCCTGTGTACTAATCCTCAAAACCTTCCCATTAAGTGGTACTTCATCTTGAAGAAGAAACTGCATTTTAAAGAAATTAAGTAACCTGATCAATATCATACAGCTATTAAGTGGAAGAAATGGTATTTATATTTATGTGTGACAACTCTTTATACCAAGACAATCTACAGGAAGTGAAATTTTAAGTATGGTTGGTTTAATATAAGAAATATTACCTTAAGGGAGATGGAAGAAAATTCTTAAATTTAATTGTGGCCTTGGAGAAGATTTACCCAGTTTAAAATTACTCAGGATGTTTCATTTATTCAGCTAATATTTATTGAGCATGTATTTTGTCATTGTTTCAAACTATAAAATTATGTATGAAGACAGCTGCACAGGGCATGGTGGTGCATGCCTGTAATCCCAGCACTTGGGAAGCTGAGGTTGGAAGATTGCCACAAGTTCAAGGCCAGCCTGGGCTACATAGTGAGTTCAAGGGCAGCCTGAACTACATAGAAAGATTCTGTCTCAAAAAACTGAAGAAGAAAAAAAGACAGCCTTTCTGTCATTGTAGCTGGAGAGGCCAGTAGGGGATGAACAGATAAATATAAACAGGTACACTCCTATTTTCAAATGAAATGCATTCCAGAAATGTATTTGATAGAAAAACAGCCAAAAAATGGCATATTGTATGTGGAGGGAATTTATCAGAAAGCTAAAAAATATTTGAAAAGTCCTTATTACAGCTTTTATATAGGGTTACCTCAGTCTGAGAAAGTAACATGTCTGGTAAGACTTTCATGGATGGGGTGAATGAATGGTTATTGATGATACGAGTATCTAGC